AGAATTGATGCTTTTGAATTATGGTGCTGGAGGAGACTCTTGAGAGTCCCATGGACTGCAAGAAGATCAAACCTATCCATTCTGAAGGAAATCAGCCCTGAGTGCTCACTGAAAGGACAGATCCTGAAGCTGAGGCTCCAATACTTTGGTCACCTCATGAGAAGACAAGACTTCCTGGAAAAGACTCTGATGTTGGGGAAGATTGAGGGCACAAGGAAAAGGGGACGACAGAGGATGAGATGGTTGGACAGTGTTCTCAAAGCTATGAACATGAATTTGACCAAACTGTGGGAGGCAGTGGAAGACAGGAGTGCCCGGCATGCTCTGGTCCATGGGGTCATGAAGAGTTGGACACGACTAAACGACTAAACAACAACAGTAGTGTTTTACCTTGAGAAGAATGATTGTCCCTATTTTATTTTTTTATTTTTAAGGAACAACTTACTGTGGCTTCTCTTGAAAAAGACTTGCATTCTCCTCCATTGAGAATACAACTCAATACACCTTGCAGCATGCTAATTTTAAATGCTGTTTGTAATATCTTATGAAATAGATTTTCTAGGGTGTTTTTTCCCCTCTCCATACACCATACCGACTATGCCAAAGCCTCAGTGCTAAATCCCTTAACAATTTCATTGGCATATCTAATCGAGTTACATAAAGATTTAAGTCATTTGGGGAGCTGCGGTGCCTCATCCGCAGCTTTACAGCAGACGGTAATTCCATTTATTGAAGGCTTGAAAGTATTTAGGTTTAAAATGCAGAAGACAAGAAATGACTCAAGCTTCCAAGGCAACACATCTTATGAACCAGTCCAGCGAACATTCAGGCCTCGGGGCAATAGGGGTGGCAGTGGGTGAGTGGCTGCACAGAGCCAACAGATGTCCAACAGCAGGGGGGAAACTAATGGCAAAGAAATGCCCCACAGCTTGGAGGGAGGGTTGCTGAGGAGCTTTAAGGTTTGCAGGAAAGGGAATGGCAATGGAGAAGGCATAAGTATGTGTGTATGTGTGTGTGTGTGTCAGAGACATGGTGTGATGGCCTGGGAATCCGATTCAGAGGCTGAACCTGCGGAATCCCAGCCTGCACAGGAGTCCCCGCCTCCAGGGCCGGCTGAGCTGGGGCAGGGGCTTGAACCTGAAGGGCCCTTACCTGTGCCGGATCTTCAGGAGCAGACACCAGCTGAATCCACTCTGGCTCCGGAGGTGATCGAGGACCCATTGTCTGCAGGTGCTCCTCTCCCAGCCCTGTCAGGGGAAGGTGAGGTTGCCTCTGGGTCCAGTAACCCTCCAGCCTCTCCGGAGCTGCAGAGGCTCAGGGCAGAGAGGCAGAGGGAACAAAGTTCTCACAGGAGGAGTGCTCACCTTAAGGCCAGGAGAGGCGAGTCACCTGTGGGCCGGGACCGCCCTATGCCTCAGAGGAGATAAAGGCCAGTCAGCCCAGTCCCAGGTTGCGGGAGCAACATCGTTGGTAACCTGTTCCTCCCAGCACCCTGTCCTGCTCTTCCAGAGTTCCTGAACATGCCCGGCTCCTTGCCTTGAACCCCGCTTCGCCCTTGACGGACAGCCTCCATACCCTCAACCTAGGACCAGACTCAGACCACGCCATGCGGTAATCGCCCCCCAGGACCAGCACACATGACCAGCAGAGAGGAATCTGCAGAGGGGGAGGAAGAGGCAGAGGAAAATAGAAACTTGATTCTTTCATGCAATGAAAGTGAGATATTCCCTTCTTGCTCTGGATTGCTGCCTGTAAGTTTTCGCAGCGGCACAGAGCTGAAGGAGCAGGAGGCAAGTGGTGGGAGGGAGTTGGATTCAACTCCCGAGGAGGAGGAATTGGCTGCACCCGAGTCTCCAAGAAGTAGGAGGCGGAGCAAACGATAAGAACAAAGGAAGACCAGCAGGAAGCAGGGGTGGGCCTGGGGTATATCTGGCCTTGGGAAGGGCAGGAAGCCAGTTGAGTCAACTGACTCTTACAGTGAGGAATGAATTGTGGGAAGCTCGGATTGCTGGAAGCCTGTTATTGCTAATAAACCTCAGCTAGTTAAACTGCCAGAATGTTGTGTCTTGTGTGAGAGAAGTGCTAAACCTGACAGTGTGTGTACACTTTCTCTTTAAAGGTAGACTTTTTGTTACTGGAATTTTTATTGGCTAAGTCAAGCAAACAATGAGAAATGGAGCAACAGAGAAGAACCATAAAACTATATACAGTGGTACCTCGGTTTTCAAACGTAATCCATTCCGGAAGACCATTCAAGTTCTGAAATGTTCAAAAATCCAAAACTCAATAGCCGACAGCTAGGCCTCAGGATCTTGCACTCAGTGGAAGCCGTGTGGCATGTTCGACTTCCGAGTTGTGTTCGAAAACCAAAGCATTTACTTCCGGGTTTATGGCGTTCAAAAACCAAAATGTTCGTCAATGGTGACGTTCAAAAACCAAAGTACCACTGTACTAAGTCTATGTTTCGGCTCTATGTGTACCCTAAATTATGAGATGATTCAGGGAAGCTTCCCATGTTCCTGAGCCCTTCCCGACTCAACTCTGCTCCCTGTTTGGTCTGGTGTGAGTGACCTTCTTCATATTTCATCTTTTCCTGTCATTGCTTAATATCACTATTACTTGTTAACACTATACTTTGCAGTCATCATCACCATCATTTGTTGTAATTACAAGTTGGAAAATAGTACAGCTACAACTCAACGTTTCCCCCTCCTACTTGCAATCTTGTCCTGTATGGCTTGGTGTGAACTGGAGGCAGCATCGAGAAATGCTTCTCACTGAGCCTCAGTATTTTCCCAATATTATCATCAGTGTTATTTACATTTCCTCTACTGTTAATCTGCGAGTTAAAAAGATGCACTCTCTCTCTCAATGTTCTTTCCTTGCTGCTGGGTCTGACTTTCTGATGTTTCAGCTAGAGAGGTCCAAGAGGTTCTCTTTGCTGTGACTCAATAATTTCCCATCATTCTGATGGCAAACAGGATTGGGAGACAGTGACTATTCACATTCCAGATTGTGTTTCCTTTTGTTAAAAGATAAATAAATCTGCATGAAAATTCGTAGGGAATTTCCATGTGCATTTCCCCTAAAAGACACATTTCCTCTCATATAATGCATTTTGTTCGTTGTTTTCATGATTATCAGCACTTGTATCTGTATGTGTTCTTTTCCCTAACATACACTTTTTTGTACATGTTTCTAGGTTGCAGATTGCATTGCAAAATTCAGCCAAAGACATAATTACTTTTAAAAGATGTTTAAATTGGTGATTCCCCCCCAAAAACTGAAGCTTTTTGGTTAGGAATAATTGGGACATAGGTTCCAAAGAAGTTGACTAATATTTTAATGTATGCAACGACCACAGCCAGAATCTTATACATGCAGAAATCGAAAGACGAAGAGACTCCAACGAAGGAAGAATGGCTTATAAAATTAATGGATTATGCTGAAATGGCAAAATGGACTGTAAAACTAAGAGATCAAAATGATGAACTGTTTATGGAAAACTGGATGCCTTTTTGGACTGACAAAATATTTTAGCGATATGAAATTGTGTGCAGGATTTGAGATATGAGCAGCGGGGGGGGGGGGATGAAATGATGTTAAGATGGACTTAGGGGGTTTAGTAACAAGTATAATGCAGCAACTAAGGATAAGAATAAAAACACCAGTGCAGGAGGGGTGGGGAGTCAAAAAGAAAAAAATGTAAGTGAATGATACATTGTGTAGTAAATTTTTTAAAAAGTTTTGAAAAACCTATTAAAAATTAATAATAACAAAATTCGGCCAAGGGTGAATTTTGTGGTTCACTTCCTGCATTGGTTCAGAAAGTGCAAATTAGGTTGGTTCGCGTTAAAATATATACTGACCAGAGTTTACTCCCATCCCTCGAGTGAGCAATCTGCTCCTACTTTCAGAGCTTTTGTACTTGGCTGCAACACCAAGGGTTGCTTCTGTTGGGAAACTGTGTGCGTGCAGCTACTCACACAGAGTCAATTAAGGTTTGGCAGACAGCCAGAAGGTCATGTGAAGGAGTAAGTCTGCCTGGTGATAACGAAGGCATGGAGACAGCTCCCTGATTGGTCAAGCTCTCTCAAGGGAGTGATAATTAATGGCCTACTAACTGGAATGTGTTAGTTCAGAGTCCAGAGGTTCAGAGTTCTGTGTGTCAGTGTAGGAGTTGTGAGTCGTGTCAGAGAGAGCTAGCAAAAGATCCGTGTTCTGTTCCTGTAAATAGTCCACTGTATATAATAAATACCTAACTACAAGTTCCTGGTTCCTGCTTCGTCTATCCTGCCTGCAGCCGAGTTGCCAATTGCTTCCGTGGATTCTGCATGTACTCTGCCAGGTCTGGCTAAGGTCCTGCAACTGGTCAGAAAGTTGTGAAACACCAAATAGGTTTTGCCAATAGCTTCAGCTCAGCAATAGCTTTCACCTTAGCATGTCTTGAAGAATACATTTCCCTATGCATGCATATATATATATATATATATATATATATATATATGCATTCCTGACTGAACACTGCTGTCTTGTTTTATAAAACATCTTTGGGGGAGAAGAAAAGTGCCAGACTTGTTTCAAGGCCTGCCAATGAATGTCACTTGAAGGTGTGTCGCCCTCACTGCTGTCTTTTTTTGTTCTGTTTCAATGTGGCTGCCTTCATGCGTTTGAACCCTTTCACATTACATTTTCCAATAAATTAATAAGCAAGAATGAGAGAAAACATGATACGCAATCCATGTGCATCTCACACAGAGAGCTCTTGGTTACCTCTGCCTTCTTGTGTGAAAAACAAGGAGAGTGTGAAGCCAAAGCAGAGAGAATAGCGTAATGAATGTTTCTATGGCTACAAGGGGAGTTGCTGTGCACTGAGCCTTTTCGATGAAGACATTAAGACAGTTTGACAAAGTACCAGTAAAGAGGGGAGAAAGGAAAGCTAAAGAACTGAGAAAGGTCAAACGTGGACTCGACACTTGTACAAAGCATGTCACTTTTATTTGATTACGAAGAGGCCTCCAAATTAATATGCCATTGTGGCAATAGTAACATTTCCAGTTTTAATACTATTCCTTCTCTGAGTTCATGGGAGTCATTGTTAAGAAAAATATGCAAATCTGTGCTTTTTGTTTGTTTCTTTCTTTGATATCATAAATGATGTCACTTAACAATAATTTTTACTGACAGTGGCAGATCTTCAGCAAACTGGAAACCCAGAGCTATGAATCCTATAGGCAAAGAGGAACAGTTGAGAGATAATTTACCAAGCAAAAGGAGATTGGTGAGTAGACTTAAACTATGTTCTTACTGCTAAGTGGGGTGGGCTTGGAGAGGGGAGAGTATGACAGGCAGCACATTCCCCCCCCCCAGACCCTTGTTCCACGTGGCCAGATTTCTTAAGCTTTTTTGTTGCAAAGCCTTCATAAGGCCAAGAGTCAGGACACACCACGTTCCTTAACATCTCTGTATAGTGCCTTCTAACCCTCCTTTCCCCCTTCCAGCACACTTCTTTCCAGCCAGTGGCATGAGGTACGGGGTGGTTGCCCCAGGCACAAAATTGAGGTACTGCCTCAATACAGCTGTGTGCTTCTATTGCTGGGCTCCATTGAAAATGGTTTCTCCATGCGAACCAGGAAGTGACCTCTCTAGACAATGAAACTACTCTTTTTAAAAAAAATCTCTGTGGCTGCGATCTCCTGGGTGATGCGGATGCCATTAGGCAGTTCAATGTGCATGCATTTTCTTGGTCCCCCTCCCTCCCAATACCCCTCTCCGTAAGGACCCAGGCACTAGCAAACCATGTTATGCCACTGTTTCCAACTCCAGACTTGCTTTCTTCTCTCTCACAAGTCCCAGCTAAACTGTTGCTTCCTTTCCCCACTCTCCCAGCCTTGGCATCCAGAGATAATATGTTACTGTTTCTAACCTGTTCTCTCCTATGCTTCCTCTGCCCAATGACTGGCTGGTAGCTGTGGGCCATTGTGACCTCAGAGTAGCTGGAGGCACCATGACTTCCAAGCCAACTACTGATGTTGCAGAACTCTCTGTTGCCTGGTTTAGAATGTAAGTCTGGCCAGCTTGCCATTCTTACATATGCAACAAATTGAATGGCTTCCCTCAGAAATTCTTCTGCGGCTTAGAAGGATTCCATACAGAGACTTTTCTCTTCATTTTCCTTTTTCTCCAAGACATAGGCAATAATTGTATCTCAGGCAAAGCCCCACATAAAGCTCCAAGTGAGGAGAGGAGATTAAGCCTAAAGGAACTGTGGACAAACCCAAGAAGAAACAGAACCTTGCGAGGGAAGTAGCTCTACTACTCATGCGTCTCTCTAATCAAGTTCCATGAAGCTTTCCCTGTGGGTGTGATGCAGATAAAAAGAAACATGACTTTAGAAACCTTCACTGGTGGCCTGATGGATTGACCAAATAATGAAAAGACAGAAACTGCAGAGTTGAAAACACTGTTAAGCAAGGCAAACAGCACCAAGCAATGCAAAACCTAAGGGATTATTTACAAGACAAGAGTAAACAGCTGTGGGCAGTGCAGAAAAACATTCATCCACAACAAGCAGCAATTTCCTGTTGTGTCAAACCCAGGGCCAGTTTCAGTATCTGCAGGTTATTTTCCTTTGTGCATATCCAGTTTTAGCTTCAAAAATCTGGGACTCCAGTTTGGATGTCTTAATATATATTTATTTAAACCCCACCATTTTCCCTCAAGATGACTTGCAGCTAAAAATAAGAAATGTTTAAGACATACCAAAAAATATTTAAAAACAATTGAACATTGATAGAATGAAATCTCTCTCCCTCCCTCCCTCCCTCCCTCTGCAATGTATTAGACAAAACCACAGAAATATACACAACCTCAGAACTTCCCGCCTCCTCCCAGGATCTAGATATGCCAATCGAAGTCTGCCTTTTGGTCTTATTCATGTTTATGCAAAGGCAAGATAGTCTGTACCCTTTCCCATGTACCAAAGCAAACTGTTAGCTGAATTTAGGTTGTTGTTGTTGTTATTATCATCATCCCCAAAAAATATTAGTTTTCCAAATTTATAACAAACATATCCACAAACATAAAAAGAAAACATCAAAAAACAAGCAAACAAACACACATATATCCTAACTGTAAAAATTCCACTTTTGTTATCATTGTTGGTGACTTCCTCAAATCCCCCTGGCTGAGTTTCCATATACATCATTGTAGCAGTTTTCCAAAACTAGTTTCACATAAATTTACTTGGTCCATTAACATCTTTCTTTCTTTCCATTTTGAGTGTTATTATTATTAATAATACTGGTTTCAGGACAGCATTATCCACTGCAGCTGAGGACAGAAACCTGGCTGTAAAATGAAAAGACTCTTACAATCAGTGGAGTGGGTGAAGTTTTGATGTGCTACCTGAGACTGAGGACAGAAACTGCAAGATGCTAGTCAACTGGGAGCTGTGAATTTGGTGTGTGGTGCTCTGATCTTAGGGGACAGAAGGGCAGACAGCCAGGGGCAGAGGAAGGGGTGTGCGGTGGGGGCAGTCCACCCCGGGTGTCTTCGCTGAGGGGGGTGACATTGTTTTGAAAGCTGGGGGAGACTTGGGAGTCACGGGCGGGTGGGGCGCCAAATGTCCCCCATCGGCAGCTCACTCCGCACCTGGCTGCAGGGTGTGGGCACCGTTCCATGCACCCAAGTGGCTATTTCACGCCTGGGAGGGCACCCTCAACGCCCCATACCCCTCGGGAGTGCGCCCACCCTGGGCAGCATGAGAGGGTGAAATACTTTGCTAGAAAAATGAAGTTGATGTGAGTTGCTCAGTTTAGAACCAGGAAACCCTTCTAATAACATAATAACCTGACTGTCTCGTCCAGCATCCTGTTCTCACAGTGGCCAAGCAGATACCTGTGGGAAACCAGCAATCAGGATTTGAGCTTAAGAGCTCTCTCTCTTCCTGTGGTTTCTAGCGACTGGTATTCAGAAGCATTGAAACCAGTACGTTTCCAAGCACAATTCAAAGTGTTGGTGCTGACCTTGAAAGCCCTAAACGACCTCGGTCCTGTATACCTGAAGGAGCATCTCCACCCCCATCGTTCTGCCCAGACACTGAGGTCCAGCTCTGAGGGCCTTCTGGCGGTTCCCTCATTGTGAGAAGTGAGGTTACAGGGAACAAGGCAGAGGGCCTTCTCAGTAGTGGCGCCTGCCCTGTGGAACACCCTCCCTTCAGATGTGAAGGAAATAAGCAGCTATTCTATCTTTAAAAGACATCTGAAGGGAGCCCTGTTTAGGGAAGTTTATAATATTTAATGCTGAACAGTGGAACCTCAAGTTAAGTACTTAATTTGTTCCGGAGGTCCGTACTTAACCTGAAACCGTTCTTAACCTGAAGCACCACGTTAGCTAATGGGGCCTTCCTGCTGCCGCTGCGCCGCTGGAGCCCAATTTCTGTTCTTATCCTGAAGCAAAGTTCATAACCTGAAGCACTATTTCTGGGTTAGTGGAGTCTGTAACCTGAAGCATATGTAACCTGAAGCGTATGTAACCTGAAGCGTATGTAGCCCAAGGTACCACTGTACTGTTTTTAATCATTTGATTGGGAGCCACCCAGAGTGGCTGGGGAAACTCAGCCAGATGGGCGGGGTATAAATAAATTATTATTATTATTATTATTATTATTATTATTATTATTATCATCATCATCATTATTGCTGCAGCCAACTGTGGAGACAGAGCAGCAATAGTGCTCTCTTCCATGAATGTGTCCAGTCCTTTTTTAAAGCCTTCCAAGTTGGGAGGCATCACTGCCTCCTGTGGGAAGTGAGTTCCTTAGTTTTATTTTGGGTTTGCGGAAAGTAATGGCCAGCGATGATTTTTATTTCATTTAAGAAACCAAAACAAAACTTGAATGCAATTTCATATAACTTTCTAATGTGAGCAACTAGATGCTGGAAACTAAGGCAGATGGGCTACATTTTACTAAGAATAATAGTACATCCATCATCTGCAAGTTAGATGTTTAAGGCTTAATGAAATATTCCAGCCAAGGCAAGCAGATTTGTTCATATGTCAATAACTGGAAAATTGATTATTTTGCAAGGAAAATAAAGCAAAGAAATAAAATGACTCAGCCATTAAGACAATCTACGGAAAATTTATGAGTCTGCAAAAATCCCCGGCTTGCTGAGCATTGGAACAAATTGGAAAAATCGAAGAGAAAACTGGATGTGAACCTTTAAATGTGCTTCTGACCTATGCAAAGTGACTTTGCAAACAAAAGAAATAAATGGCATCATATAGTTAATTATTAAATCAGTATACATATGGGGGAAAAATTCTGTTTGCAAACTCACCAGGAGCCCCTCCACGCAGTCTGATTTTTTCTCATGTTAATCTTTCAGTCCCAATTTCATTCCTTTATTCATAAGTCTGAAAGCCCATTACCTTAAAGGGTTTTTTAATGCTCTCAAATTTGTCTTAAGTAACACGGTGCAAGTTAAAGCCAGTCAAGTCAGGTGTGAAAGTCTAGCTGAATGCCATACTAAACGTTTCCTGAGAATATTTTGTCTTCGGAAGACAGGTCAAAATTTCATCAAGCGCTGTTTCAACTGGAAACACACTACCTGTGGGGAGGAGGGAGAATAAGAAACAACAGTTGACTGAAAATATAGCACAAGGCAGTAAGACAACATGTACACCAAACATGGAGAAGACGAGATAGAGACAAAGAACTGAAGAAGCAATAGAAAGTGGGACTGGGAAGAGATGGAAGGGGCTGTGCCTTATTGGGATACACTTGTTCTTTAGATGTCCCTTTTATCAAGAGGCACATAGTAAGATCATGGATCCCCTGCTAGTGAGGCTCGCCGACCTCCTGCAAAAGCAAAAATTTGACCTTTTGCTGTTAGGCAAAGATCAGAAGATGACCTGGATGGTCGCCAGATTCTGTGCACAGATCTGTAGGCGCAGACCATCGCCCAACTCAAAATAGTCCGGCATGAAAAGCCCCAAACACGGTTCCAAGGGTGATTCTGAGTCAACTCCCTGGGACAGTTTATTGTTGTACATTGTTGCTAAATTTAGTGTTGTACATTGTTTTAATTTTCTGTTTTAACCATATTTGCACAGCAGTTTCTAATGTTGTGAGTGTCCTCTATTTAAGAGGCTTCTACTCTGCAGCCTCTTATAGTTGTTTTAACTGCGAGTCTTTTAGTTCTTCTGCTCTTACAGTTGTTTTAACTGTGTGTCTTTGTTTGTTTTTAGTTCTTATCTGTTTTAATTATCAGTTTTTTATCCATCCATTATCCATGTTTAATCTTGTATTTTATCCAGATGTTTTATCCTATGCCTGTTTCCTTGTCCTCACTTGCTCTAACAATTATCGGTCAAAAAAATCCTAACTGCTATTTTATCTATATGCTTTTTTAAATCCTGGTCTGAGACCATAATAAAGTTCATTCATAGGATACAAGAAGCAGACAGACTAAGGATGGGGCAGAAAGTGTAGGGTTCATTTTCCCTGTTGATGTTCAGTTCCAGGTCCCCTTCCCCCAACACACACACACACACACACAATATTTTCCTCCCATTGAAACAAACAACAGTGGTTCTGGACTTGGCGTAGAGACCATCTTATCTTGGAAAACCTGCTCCCTGCCTTGCAGTCCTTTTCCCACCTGGCCTGGGAGGACTGACTCCACCTACAAAACCTGAGGCTGCTGAACAGACTCTTCGGCTGGGGTGTTGTTTGGGGCTTTTTGCTGTAGGGGTGGTGGTGGTTGCTGTGGTTGGTGGGTTGCTGTTGTTTTTTGTATCTTTATTTTAGTTCTTGTGATTCATGTGGAAATTGTTTAGTTTGGTTGTGTATTTTTTGGATGTTTTCGTTATTGTTTATGACTACTATTGTAATGATCTACAGTACCTTGATCTACCACTGTGATCTACCCTCCCACCAGATGTCAAAGAGATTTATTTATTTATTCATTCTATTCTATTCTATTCTATTCTATTCTATTCTATTTATACTCTGCCCTCCCTGGCCAAGACCGGGCTCAGGGCAGCCTACATCATGTATAAAAACAATTGATTAAAATACAACTTAAAAACAGGAATAAAATGCAACTTAAAATGCAGCCTCATTTCAGTGGAAGTCCAGATCAAAAACTGTTTGGAGGGAGAAAACATCAAATCTTTACCAATGCCAACTAGCCAGACTGGTCCTACGTGGGCCAGAAAAAAGCCAACGAAGTCCCCAAATAGGGGTTCCATCACAGCAGGAAAAGGAAAGAGGGGGAAGGGATAATAATTATATGACCATCCATAAACATCTGAAGGTGGCCCTGTACAGTTGTACCTCTGGTTATGAATTTAATTCGTTCTGGAGGTCCGTTCTTAACCTGAGGTACCACTTTAGCTAATGGGGCCCCCCGCTGCCGCCGCCGCACAATTTCTGTTCTCATCCTGAGGTAAATTTCTTAACCCGAAGTACTACTTCTGGGTTAGTGGAGTCTGTAACCCGAAGTGTTTGTAACCCGAGGTGTTTGTAACCCGAGGTACCACTGTATTGGGAAGCTTTTAATGTGTGGTGATCTGTTGTGCTTTTGTATATTCTGTTGGAAGCTGCCCAGAGTGACTGGGGCAACCCAGTCAGATGGGTGGGGTATGAAAAAATATTATTATTAAGTTATGTATTTTATGTTGTAAGCTGCCTTGAGCATGGTTTGAACTCTGGAAAGGCAGCATGCAATCAAATTACATATGTATATTCATGCCTCTCCTGACATGCCCCCCAGAATGCCTCTTGTTTTCCCTCTCCAAGTCGGAAGTCCAACATGGTGGAGGACTTTACCACCACCTCAGAGTGGCATCTCTCTCTCTCTCTCTCTCTCTCTCTCTCTCTCTTTCTCTCTTTCTCTCTTTCTCTCTTTCTCTTTCTCTCTTTCTCTCTTTCTCTCTTTCTCTCTTTTGGATGGACCTCTTTCTATGCACTGAGAGAGGGAGAGCCCATGTACCCTTTGATGCCCTCCCAGGGACCACAAAACTGCACCCTAATACATTTTTGGACAGAATTCTTATGGGAGTTTTACTATCTCATACCACAATTGTCATGGGATATCTTGCTTTATAGTGTTTAAACTGCCTGATTCTAAGGATGTGTAATAGAGACCCACAAGACCCACACATACATATATATTGGATTCCTCCCCCCTGTCACTGATTCACTTAGTTCTTCCTTAGGCATTCAGAGCTGCTTAGGAATCTAATTGCCCACCTCACACCCTGATGAGTTGCTTTTCAAAGTGGCAGCAAAGTCTGAAAATCAGAACCCAAACTTACAAGATTTCAGGCTGTTCTTGTGGCAGATAGAATTCATATTTCAGACCTTAGTTCATCTAATTTAAGGATTTCAGCCACATTACCCACATATATCTCACAAGGAACTCTGTTTTCCTTTTCCTTTTTACAGGTTTCCTTTTGATTTGGGATCTTATTATTTTGAGCTATTGGTCAAAGAAGAACGGTCTGCCTTTCATTCTGAAACATAGCATTTTGAAAGCCACTATAGTATGAAAGACAGTCCTTTTTATTATTGCAATAGAAATAATAGGTCTGGAAACTCTTCTTCTTAAGACTGTGAGATGGTTTCATTTGACATCAAATCAGACTCATTTGGATTCAATAGTAAGAGTTCAAGAGTGAGCTCAACTGCCTATTATGGAAATTAAGACTCCGCCTTCCATGAAGACTAAAGAATATTATCATATTATAGCATAAAAGCCATAACACTTATGGACTGGTGCAAGTGAACTCTACAGGTGCAAGATTAGGAAACACTGAGGATTTTATTACTTACCAAGAGTTTAATAAGAGAAGCAAGGAGAAATGACAAGCATAGCTGCAGAAGAGATTGTATTTCTCAGACTTTTTCAAGAATATACAGGATACATATAAACTGTATACTGTTGTTGTTTAGTCGTTTAGTGGTGTCCGACTCTTCGTGACCCCATGGACCAGAGCACGCCAGGCACTCCTATCTTCCACTGCCTCCCGCAGTTTGGTCAGACTCATGCTGGTAGCTTCGAGAACACTATCCAACCATCTCGCCCTCTGTCGTCCCCTTCTCCTTGTGCCCTCCATCTTTCCCAACATCAGGGTCTTTTCCAGGGAGTCTTCTCTTCTCATGAGGTGGCCAAAGTATTGGAGTCTCAGCTTCAGGATCTGTCCTTCCAGTGAGCACTCAGGGCTGATTTCCTTCAGAATGGATAGGTTTGATCTTCTTGCAGTCCATGGGACTCTTAAGAGTCTCCTCCAGCACCATAATTCAAAAGCATTAATTCTTCGGCAATCAGCCTTCTTTATGGTCCAGCTCTCACTTCCATACAGCAGTACTGAGAAAACCATAGCTTTTACTATACCTGGAGGAGGAACCGGCAAGCCACTCCAGTATCCCTGCCAAGAAAACTCCATGGACAAAGACAACAGGCAACTGTATACTAGGCTTCAGATATTAATAGTGCAAGCACATTGGAGCCAGAGCAAATGGTTATGTGCACTGAGGCCTGAGCATGCACTGTTGCCAGGATAATTAGTTGGCATGATGTCACAACTGATAAAAGAGTTCTGCAGTTGCCATGGACTCTTTACTTACTGCATCTTAGTACTTGAACCTGTCATGTTCACTAAGGAGCATAGGCACATAGAAAACTGCCATATGAGCTCGGACTTTGGTGGCAAAGGGGTGGAAGGAAGAAGAAGTCCCGACAATAATGGATTGGCATAACAAGCTGCAAGAATTTGCTGAAACGGCGCAGTTGACAAATAATCTGAGAGGCAATTCAAAACAAAAATTTATGGAAAAGTGGGATAGATATAAGATATATGTTCAAAAATGCAGTAAAGGTTCGCTACCTATGCTAGCGTTCGACTGACGTTGGAGAGAGACTGAGTTGCGAAATAAGACCAAGGGTACATATTGATATAGGAATGTATTAGATAAAATGTAAAGAAACATACAAGAATAAGAGTACATTC